ACATATATTCGAAACCAGCTTGAAACGCTGGATCCAATTTTGTTGTCCTTAGTTGCAAGCCTTATTCAAAATGATATTGTAAGCTTTTTGTTGCTCACCATTCACGCACTACTGAATATGGAGGAAAGCTTGGAGGTAGAAATCTACCTACAAAAATTGCTGGAATAAGGGAGGAACATTAGGGCCTTCACAAGATGCGCGCTTCTCATAGAGTATGAGTACCTTCAAAGACAATTGATCTATCGATAAATTCTTATTCTAAAGCATTGCTTTTTGTATTCTTTCGCTATCAAAAACCGCTAATCGTGTCCATGCAGTGCTCCGCCTACTCTATGGCAGCGAGCAAACGATAGTTATCTCCTCGACCTGGCATCAGACCTCTTCAGCAACTCAGATGATACCCGGATCATGCGAACCGCGAACCGCGCTTTCTTGCAAGGCGGTCAGGCCAATTGGGGCCTGGTCGAAACTTCAGCGAACGGTACTTCCAGGGTTCGGCACAGATCGTCTGGAAGAAGGCCGGACTTCGTTCATGGAGCAAAAAGCAAAGAAGATTCGTTTTTGACCAGTCGGGGGCGAGCACGAGCACCAAGAATGAGCGCCATTTGGTCAAACACAAGCTTTTCGAACAAGTTATCACACGATTGATATGCTTTATCGTGTATGGCGGAAAGTGCGTGCGATTTGAAGCAAGTTTAAATCAACAAAGTGCTTGTTTACAGCGCACACAGAATCATATGAAACCAAAGTTGAACCGCTTGGAAAATTATTTGCAAAAGAATTGTGCAAGAAGATTCAAAAACTTATGTGAAGTATTGCCTTTTCCAAAGTTAGTCTGTCTTTAGACGGTTACCAGACGATGCGAGATCGTCTGGAGCATATATTTCTGCCACTTATAAGTTTCGAATTTTTCATGATGTACGGATTCCCCGATTAAAAATCCATTCCTGAGCATAAATACATTTTCATATCATTGCCTTTCCTTTGTTTTTTGCTTTTATTTCTTCTTTGTTGAATATCGCGCTCCAATGCCAAACTCTTGTGCGTGCATAGTATTCAGCTCCACTTCGGATTTTCACGTTTTTTTCTTTCAGACTAGTAAATCTTTTTTGTGGGGGACTTCGTCAAACCTCCGAAAGTCATAGGAGATTTCGTTTTCATAAACCCTAAAGACCGACTTGTGCTAGGCCTTGCGTACTCCACTGTCGCATGTTCTGCCAGCGGGCAGCAATATGAATTTTCTGCGAACGCTTGTCAAAAAATTTCTTTCAGCCAGCGCTCTTACTCTTGTTACGCAGTTTCAGGTATACGCCGAGCAAATGTAACACTCTATATGGCAGAGGAGTCATCGTTTCAAACCTAGGCATACCTCGCGCGATTCCTGTTGCTGCGCGATTTCTTACAACAGCTACTCCCTGTAATTCGTCATTAACGCGCTTCCTTTGGTCAGAACTTAACCCATCTGCAACAACTTACACAAGCTATCCGCCTATGCAATCGAGAAGCGCGCACTAAATTTGTAGAAATCTGGCTAATGGCCAAGTCGCGTGAAAGTGACGATGGCCAAATCGCGAGGTAGCCCCAGGCCTTAGGGTATCTACGGGCTGTGCAGTACAAAAACCATGCTGCGCTTAGTAATTTCGTTTATTCCCGCGAAAGTCTACAAGAATGCGGCCACTGCGCCGCAACTACAGAGTGCGCCGAATTTACCTGCGCCAAATTTGCAGCACTGTCAAGGAAAAATCAGTGAGAAGTGAAGGCTCAAATTTGTGCCATAGAATGTCCCAAACAAACTCCATCAGATTTATTCAAAAGAATTTAAAAAGACCTCTTATAATAATGTGAGGATTAAATGAATCAAACTAAATATTTTGAGAAAAAACAAAGATGGAATTTCTAGAACTTCACGTTTTGCTCTGCAACTAAATAGACAGTCTTCTTGAACCATTCCAAATCGAGGTTGTAGAGCACGCTCGGCACTATCACATATCTCTTGCATTTAGTAGGATTTGCTCTTTCGCGAAAAACGAAAATGTTTTTGCAAAAGACACCTGCGTACGAACAACGATCTTATGTTCAAAATCGATTGTAAAACTCCAGACGAGCAAAACCTTCTGGGTAAAAAGCATTTTTTGTTTAAGAAATGTGCAAAAGAGCATCTATGAGAGGTTCCCGAAAATAGTTTTGAACCTGATGTAGAAGATTCATTTCCTGATTCTCAAGCGCTTCCAGCAGGGTGAAAATACCACCGATTTTCAATATGCTGTCTGCAAGCATGCTTTAAAAAAATCAAAAATCTTTCTTCTACTAAACTTTCAAATTTCCAATCTCAACAAGACTACTTTGAAGCCAAATTTAAAAGCAAGAAGAAAGGTTTTTAAAAGATTATCGTCTAAATTTTCGAAGTCGTGCCTGCGTACAGAACACACTTCGAATGTCAAGAGGATATGAGATTTTTTCAAAAGATTAAGCAGCCGAGTTCTGATTTGCATCCAAACAAACACGCGCAGTTAATTTTGACGCACCGTGTAGTCTATGCAAAAGCAGCGATATTTCTTCGAGCGTTAGTCTAAAAAGTCCAACTCTTATCCAAAGATCTGCAAGCGGACAGACCGCAAAAAATCAGCGATCTGTTCTTCTGGGCCGGTAGTAATCTACCCTACCTGGTGGCATCATAGATGCAGGCAAGTTGGCACACATCGCGGAAAGATGCCAACTCCGCCGGCAGCTCGCGGAGTGGTTGTAGGTTTTAATAATCTTATGTAACCTTAGCACGCAATCATTTCGCACATTAAATTTTGACGGCGCAGACAGCCGCAAAATTGCTACCTCACCCACGGTCGAACCTATGCGCGTTAACTTGAAGTACCACCACGTTAACCACTCGTCGTTAACCACTCGTTAACCCTCCCACAACCATCGCCGTTTGCACCAGCAATAGGAGGAACGCGCTGGTAAATTGCTGCCTGTAAGAGGGATCGATACATTGCGTGAAAGACTTTGACCTGAAAGAACAGCTGATTGATATGAGCGAGAGAGGGGCGAAATCGGTGCAGACGAGATTTATAGGGGATTGCCAAAAAAGATGATGTTCTTTATGATTCTAAGGCATTACTGGATTTTTTCTCTATAAGAAAATCGTTGTTTTGAGAAAGAAAAACCCATATAATGAGAAAAATGATAGTTTTTTGAAGAAAAGTAGAATTTCTGATTTTTTCGCCTGACGTAAATTGTGTGATATCGCCGCAATTCGCAAACCCGCAGACGCCGTCGGCAAAGGTGCCACCACCTCGACGTGGTAGGGGCACGTCGAGATGCCGGCAGCTCCCTCTCTCAAAAGAGCACACTATTTCCCGTGCTCTCTGACCTGCCGGCAGCTGCCATCTCGCGGATTTCGACGAGCTGCCGGCAGGTTGCCGGCAACTTACCTCGCGAAGTTGCCGGCAGCTCCTTCTGCGCTTCCAGATATTTTCCCACGGAAGGAGTTCTAGAACCGCAGATTTCTATGGAGTTTTCTACAAAGTCTAGGTGGCATCTTTACAGAGAAAATTTTTTAGAAATAGGCCTGGGACCACCTAAATTTGGGGTTTCACTTTCTGGCCACCTCACGGAGAAGGTGCCAGCGACCTGCCGACGAGACTTGCCGCCAGGTCGGGGGGATTACTACCGGCCCTGGTGCCTGCTTGCCTATAAATTGCATGGCCGCTTACCCTCAACGGTTTTCTGGGAGGTCGCCAACACTTTGCCATGAGGTTCTAAAAGCTAAAATTTTTAGGCCGTCTAAAGCTTCTTTACGAGAATAATCTGCTGAGTATGCCATCGCGGTCGACCTAGAGAAAACTATATTGAAGTTTGAAATTTTAGAAACAGCCCTAAAGAACACCTTTAGAATTCATCTGATTCATCTTGAGGAGGGCGAGGTGCTGCTGGCAAGTTTGTGAGCTGACCTGCCGGGAACTTGTCGACAACCTGTCGGCTCATTAGAGGCATCACAAATTGTGTTTTCTTTCGAGAGAAAATGGTGCCAGCACCTCGACGTGCCCCTAGCATGTCAAGATACTGGTACTTTGCTGGCTGAGTCTATGAAGTAGTGCGGCAATATTACACATTTCACGTTAGACAGAAATATTCAAAAATTTTAATTTTCCAAGATTCATCCCTTTTTGCGACTATGGTACGTGTAAAAGAAGAATCAACTCCATCGCAAAACACATCTTTTTTCTGCACCTCCTTCATTATTTTAATTTGGAAAAAATTTTCGAGTTTTTTGTCTATGTCGGTAAGCTGTTCATTCAAGGTCGAAAGTTTACCACACACACATTGATCAGGCCTACTTACGAGCGCCGCTTGCCTGTGTCTTCGCACTATTGCCTTTGGAGGAACAAAGTATGAGCGCGTGGCTAATTGCGTAGCGCGCTCGCGCCACAAGTTGAGGTATACATGGTCATTTCCAGGGCCATGCGGTGACCCCGAGAAATGCTTTAAATACTGATGTAGTGCCCCCTATGGGAAATTTGGCTGTTGTGCTGCAACTATTTCTTGAATGTAAGATTACCAAATTTGAAGTATGAGGTCTTACATATAATCTTAAGCTTTACCTATAACTTTACAGAGACTGCATGAGCAGTTGCAATTATCGGATCCAAAGATAAACATAAGATTTCCCTTGGCACACTACCACAAAACTTTGAGAGATAGAGTCAAAGGTGGATTTAACGATAATAAAACTGGATTTACACCGTTATTAACAACCCACACATAGAAATCTATCTTGGATGGTGTACTGTTTTTTGGTGTACCTTCTTGCCTCTGCATAAAAAGCAAATGTAAAGTGCATGTAGTCCAACTAGCGAGCAGACTTAACAAAATTAACCTTACGCTTCTTAATTAGTGCCCATTTATTTGCACGTTAGTTCGGATACGTGTATCATTTAGTTTGAGATTGTGCGTAACTCACTTGGAATGACATCGTTTTATTATTTTGTATAGAAAAAATTTACCGGTGACGCTTAGCGTCTGTGAATCCCAACAATACCGCACTGCCACAATGATTGGCCAGTGAACAAGGTATAAAACATAAGATATATCTCCACAGTAAACAAGGTAGTTATTTGTGAGACAAAACACGTTTGCATTGAGATAGATTATTATTCCAGCCATAAATGTTGCGCATACCCTGTGATTGAATTGAAGTACGCACACAACTACTATCTATAAAGGGTATTACGTATTGATCACTGAAAAACCCACCTCGCTGTATCATCAGAAATCCTCTTTGGACTGATTAACACTGCTACCACCAACGCTACAAGCCAGATATAGGTAACAAGAGATTTGATTCGCAAATTTGTTTCGGAGGCTAAAAAACTGTCAGATACACATACTTTTGTAAGCACTGGAGAACACTTTGTTATCTTTTTCAAATATATATGTTAGTATATGCGTTTATGTATGCTTGTATAACATTTCGGCACGCATGTATTTCTATTCAGCAAGGAGTCCTTAAAAAGCTCTGTATAGTAGAACATTGAATGATCTACCATCAGCCCATCAGTAGTCTCTCTCTCTCTCTCTGTTTCGCTTGCTACTTACAGGGCTTATCGATTGTAGGGCCAGGTGCACCAGCATCTCCGCTCCCGCGCGGCCGCCTCGCCTGGACTCTGCACCTTCGCGAACATGCACTCTTATTGCTTTCCCGCCATGAGCGCGGGAAAGGGAAAGTTCAATCGCTAGTTAAGCGCGCGAAATGATTGGAGAGCGGCACCCGAAAAGGGTCAGAGGCCGGGCGAGGCGAAGAATGCTGGTTCACCCGATTTTTGCAATTGATATTTTCGTTCAAAAACTAAGTTAAATTTTTAATGATTTTCCTTTCTCGCAACATGAGACATTCCAATTTTGCCATTATATGCGTTAAGACGTAAGCTACAGGCGCAGCTACTGCTGTCGAGTTCTAACGTCGCAGTGAAAGTTACGGTAAGTACATAGTGGTGAGGAAAAATTGTGAATGGTAACAGAATTTGTTGCAACTTGGCATAGTAGGATTTATTCGACTTGCTGAGTACGAATACCAGAATTGCGTGGTCGCAGCTTTTTGATTACTTTAGGTTTACGGCATGGGGTCTCATCCTAGACAAGAAAAGAGGCGTTGATTTATCAACTGACTATGACAACTGTGTTCGTCAGACTACCCCGCTATGCGAAGTGCCGGCTAATTTTGAAGTTCCGATTTCTTTGTCAGTAACGGTTGCCCCAGCAACCTTGCGTACAGGACTTGTTTAACATCGTGAGAACGCCAAATCTCGACTTGTCTCTGATTTTTCTTACTTTTTTTTAAACAAATGAATTCTCTAGCAGTGGTCCACACACAATCGCGAATTTTCGTGCGTGGTCCAGGTTGCGTACTGCCTTATTATTGCTCAAAACCTAATCTTCGTAATTCACTAATTTTCGAAAAATGACTGTAGTTTTTTTATCCCGTCTTCGTAAATCAAACAGTTTGTATCAACTTGCATCACGCTCTACATACAGTGGTAAACAAAATCATAGATTCACTCTAAAAAATGCCATGACTTACTCTTTTGTCAATAGAGTGCTTCAGAATTTGGTACAGCCGTTGTTTACCAGCCTATAAGTCGTCAAAACGGGCCTGGTTTTCGTTCGGTCAGTCAAGAAAAATCAGAAATTTTGAAAAAAGTAGGCTTAAACCCTGGTCAAAATTATAGGTCCACCTGGAGTTTCTACTCATTAAAGCACTTCCTAGCTTTCGAATTTTTTTAGGTAGGTACGCATCTAAAAACGTTAAACAGTTGCTTTAGTCAAGCTGTGTCGTTTGCCGCGACTATCTCATTTATTTGCTATACGTGCTTTCACATATAATTTACTCCAGGAACCTGCGTTTGAGTAGGAAATTCTGCACTTTATCAGCCAATTTGAAAGTGATGGGGTTTGATCTACCCTCTAGATGCTTTTTAACATGGGCATCAAGTAAAAAAAATTATCTGGCTTTTTGCTGCTGAAGCAAATCCGACATCAACCCAATGGGAAAACTAAGCTTCAATTTTTGTTCTAAAACCCTTTCTTCGTTATCATTGTAACCTTAAAATATAGTAGAAGCATTCTTTAAGGAACTTGTACACCATACTCGTGTTCACAAAACTGCCCTTTGCTTCTTTTTCGAAAGACGAGTTGTGCAGAATAATGATGCTACCCACTTCCAAAATAGCAATGCTACCTCACTTAAATTTTTGTCAGTAATCATCCACTAGATGTAAACAGCTTGTATTGTGCAGATTCTCCTGAAAGTTTGGTCTGAGCCGGAAACTTTGGTGCTTGTCGCAATCATTCTCAAAAGGTGATTTTCGTATATCTAAATGGTAGGATCTCTAGAGAGTTGTAAACATGGAATACGAACTCCTTTTCGTACACAACGCCTTTACTCTACTTAATGTTTCTGAGGACATTGCAGAAGAGGGTTAAGGGCAAAAATTTGAGCTCAGGATTGCAGTGATGTCAATGTTGGATTTGTTTAACAGCAGAAAGTCAATTTTTTCTCAAAGTCAAAGTCAAACAGCAAATTTTTTTCCCTAATCTTTACGCCAAAAAATCTAAAAGGTAGATGAAGCCTTGTCGCTTCCCATCCAGCTGAGAAACTGCAGAATTTCCTACTTAACGCAGGTTTCCGGGGCGAACATGTGAAAGCATTTTCCCAAGTAGAAAAAAACGCAGATTATCAATTATTCGGAACTATGACATAGTTTGACTGAAGTAACTGTGTAACGCTTTTGAATGTGTACTACCTAAAAAATTCGGAAGCTAGGAAGTGCCAATGAGTAAAAACTCCAGGTGGACGTACATTTGACCAGCCTTCAAGCCTGCTTTTTTTTCAAAATTGATTTTCTAATAATGAATAATTGAACGAAAACGATACCCTTTGATGGTCAATGCTCATAGGCTGGTAAACACACGGCTGTACCAAATTCTGGAACATTTTATTGACAACAGAGTAAGTTATGACATTTTCAAAGTGGACCTATAATTTTGTCCAGGACTGTATTGCCGAAATTTAATGCGCAATATGAGTATCATAAAATGAAATTCAAATTTCAGCAACCTAATATCTACCTTATATACTAATTTGGCCAACGTTATTACACTCCCGCTAAGGTCGTGGGTTAAGAAACTCGTTTTGCTGTTTCGTGAATGCTGATCAAGAGTGGAAAGCAACCAATAAATTTGAAAACTTTTTTATCAAAAGGACAAATGCAAAATAAAATTAGTCCTTGGATTGCTTATGACTTGGAAAACACTTCACATATTCATGTAAGATTCACAACATTGTCAAACCCTAAAAAAGGCTTTTGCGACTATTTCTTCTCAGCTAAGTTTTTTTTTTGAAAAACGCATCCCTAGTTTCTTTCTTATCTAATGACCATATTTCGCAGATTTCCAAGATAGACGAACTTGAACGAAATCAGTTGCGGACAAGTTATTGGTTACGCCATGTATGACATGCCGGTTTAGTTTTGCTAAGAAACGACACAATGGCTGGCCCTCACGCTTGCCTGAAACTCAGTTTTATATGCTGGCATCGTATATTAGGCACAGAACTCTTGCTGATGCCTCAAGCTGGAACTTGATGCGATACACTACCATGCCCTGGCTAAGTAATTGCCAAAGTTCACCGCAAGTTGGTATGCTTGAATTTTGCCCCGTAGTTGCCCCCTACGCTACAAAATTTTCTGTGGAGTGACCAAAAAGGGAAATAGTGTGTTGATCTCTTGTTTTATTCCATCTAATTTGCAGTCAGTGTAGTGTAAAACGTACCTCGATCGACTGCGCGTGTTTTCTGCTCTCCACAGTCTTGATCCAGAAGAAGTTTGTATTCATGCACTGCATCTGGTGAATCTTGTCTACTAAACTCATACGCGATCGACCCACACATAAACTGCCATATTCGAGACAGTAAGAATCCGTAAGATATCTGATAGAGTAATAAAGTTGGATATCGTATGCATCACTTGGCTGCGTTCATATCAACGTTCTTTTCATTATGGGTATGCACGCAGCAGATCGTCGGAATTATGTATCACACCTCATTGATAGATTTCTTGTCCCGAATTTGATATAAGCCAGATTCGCTTAGCTCAACATTCAATATTACTGTTTTGCAGCGCCGCTTAAAATTCCTTTTTTATACTGTCATCTTGAAAACTGCAACCCAATTTATCATGTGGTGACCAGTAAATGAACATATCAGTATGGCTGCACTATGCCATACGACAGCAGTTAGATTAATTCTTTTGACAGTAAAACACCTGATGACCCATATTCTAATATAAATGCGGTTTCACGCGAATCAGTCATTTCTCTTTGTTTGTTTTCTATGTCTCTAAGCGATGCAAAAACTGACATTGGGTGGGCTGCAGAGTTGGAAGAAGGCAGAGCTAGCTACCAGAGAAAGGAAGAATACTAGTCGAATTTTATGCTTGCAGCAGGATGCAATGCCCATAAGCAGAGGTACGATGAGATAGTACTGCAGTTCAACTCCGAGGGACCAAGTGTGCATAAAAAATCTGTATGCCGATAGCTAAAAAATGTGACTGACAAAATATGGTTGATAAGACTTTTCTAAAATAACAGCACCTGATCCCAATATCCAACCTTTTGGAAAATTGGCTGCAGATTGGACGTGTACGCGCACGCCCAAACGAGATCGTCAAATATTTGTTTGCGATCGATACGGAATATGTAAAAATATCCATCTGAAGGAAATTTGTAAAAGAGGAATGAACACAAGCATTCTGCATTTCTGATCAAGTAAGTCACTTTATCTAGCAAGCATATGTATGATGTTTATTATGTGAGCAGGACCCGGTACGAATTGACACTCAAAATCTTGAAAAGTTTCTTTTATTTGAGCAAAAATTACGCTCTTCAATGCACGAGATCAAGAATTTGCTTCAAAAAAACTATGAGCTAAAACAGCAGGAAAGAGGAGAAAAAGTAGCGAAAAAATAGCAAGTGCGACATAGAGTAAAGTTCAAAAAATTTCAAGCCCTTAGCGAAGTTTGAAGGTACATATGAAACAAATCATAATTTAAAAGGGCCCTTTTTATGTGGCAAAAGCTAAAATTAGCACTGCTCAATAAAAAATTTAATGCAGAAAGTGATTTTTATACGCGAAAATTAGCTAGCTTCAACTTACATGACCCTCTTTACATGCAATTCCCCGGTGTTTCGACATTTGCGGTGTTAGTAACTTGGTTTCTCAACTAATTCATCCGAACACGTGCCAATGCCGTTGATGGTTTTTTTGAAAGGTATTTGCTTCGTAAGCATCCGATTTGTCGTCCATTTGTCGTTTCTTCCAACCGTGATGTGACTAGCACCGTTCACCCAAAATGGAGGTTGGCGAGATTATAATGACATACTAGTGTGGGCCCCACACTAGGCAAACCTCCAAGTTTCGCCGCAAAAGACTGCTTCTGGAGCGAGAAATCCGCTCCGGAAGTCCACTTGCTTTGCTTTATCTCGCCTGCACTTGGTGCAGAGGGTTCTCGAAACAGGGATTTTTGGATGTTTTGCGGATTTTCGACTCCATATTCGAAATCAGGGCCTTCGGAAGGCCTGGAATCGACAAAAACATGGAAGTGAGAATTTGGGTGGACGGTGCATTTTAGGAGTAGATGCTTCATAAATATTAGGTTGAACCAAAAGTTTGTTCGCACCATTTTCAAAAAATCATTACTTCTTTCCGTCACGACGATTTTGCGCATTCTAAATTTTCTTAGAAAGCGTGAGGCATGCAGTTTCCAATAGTCTCATGGCGACATTCCAGCATGTTCAGATTGCAGAGATAAAAATGAAAGAACGAAAACATCCGAAATTCGGAATTTTTGAGCAAAAATTCTAAAAATCTAGAAACTGCGCGATAAAATCCAGAAAAGCCATTATCCTAATTTTTCTTATATTTGATTACTAACTGAGTTAAGTTTGTGCTGATTGAGCTCTTCTTTCAAAAGTTAGGATTTTTTGAAAAAAAATGCCGAAAAATCAATTTCTTAGGAATTCTTAGGAAAGTGATTTTTCGGATTTTTTTTCAAATATCATAACTTTTGAAAAAAGAGCTCGATCAGCACAAACCTAACTCAGTTAGTAATCAAATATAAGAAAAATTAGGATAATGGCTTTTCTGGATTTTATCGCACAGTTTCTAAATTTTTAGAATTTTTGCTCAAAAATTCCGAATTTCGGATGTTTTCGTTCTTTCATTTTTATCTCTGCAATTTGAATATGCTGGAATGTCGCCATGAGACTATTGAAAACTACATGCTTCACGCTTTCTAATAAAATTTAAACTGCGCAAAATCATCGTGAGGAAAGAAGTTATGATTTTTTGAAAATAGTGCGAACGAACTTTCGGTTCAACCTGATAACGCGGATGGCTATGCAGAATTCGGCGGTCTGAAGTGCAGTCCGAAATTAAGCTGTGGAGATATGTTCAAAATATCTAAATACATATGAAAGCATCTAAATATGTATATTGAGAATACATAGTAACAAAGATAACGATTGTTTGGGTAGAGCCATTGGGCTGAGTTCTAAGATAAAACATCTAAAGCAAAGCAAGAGCCTTTTAAAAGGAAATACCTAGTCTTGTTATGCAACTTACAATTCTCTGCCTGCCGGTCCAAACCGCTGCTTCAACCCCCCCCCCCCCAGGGCCTGTAATAAACCCACTGGAGTAGCGGCGACTCGCTTGAGCGTGGCAAATGCTCAGCGAATGCCTTTTTGCTGCCGTCCCATGATAAGGAAAAGGCGACGTGACCAAGGCATATGCTCAGCGTAACGCCGAGGCAAAGCGGCCTAAACGACTAGCTAGGACCAGCGTGCCGTCATGCAGAGAGTCGGCAAATAGTCTGAGTGGAGACGCAGAGAGATCGTGGTGCCGACACATATCTAGGTCGAGTACGTCTGGGGTAGTGTGCCGCCCGCTCTCCGTGGATACACGCAATGGATCGAAGTGTACGCCAAACACAAATAATATAAACAGCTGATGGTAAGCAACGGAGCGCAATGGCACTCTTTTTTCCTACTGTTGTTTCTTCTGTTACTTGCTCCGAAAAATAGGTAAGGTATGTTGATTTTTATCAACAAACTTCCACAAGTCTTCTCAAGCCAAAATCTGTCTTTAATCGATTTATAGCTTTCGTTAATTTGCTCTTACTGTTTTTCGGCGTCAGTCAAAAAATCTTGGAATTTGTGGTGTTATAAAGTTCTGTCTAATTTATTGCTGTTTATTGGCTGCGCATGACTTGCTTTACTTCTATACGAGTAAGGAAACCATTTGGTGCAGTGGCTAATGAATTAGCACACACTGTGCAAATCGAATTACTGAAAGTAGATCGAGTTAGTGAAAGTAATATTTTTGATGTACTTTTAATATTTTGTTAGCACGTTATTTCTCAACAAAAATCCCATAGTATTTCATATCCATTGAAAAATAAACATAGTAAGATGTATCGTCTCTCATCGCTTTGCAAAAGAGACTCCTCTAATTGCGACGCGTCCCCGTGACGTCGCACTTAGAGTCCTGCAACACTGGCACTGCGCTACATACACTGAGACTGTATTATCGGATATCCCTTATATGTAGAGTGTTACATCACAAAGCGTAATAATTGTAACACGCAGGCCTTGCTTTTGCTTACAAGGGAAGGATACTAACTTACAAGGAAAGGATACCAACATTAGTCGGCGATTGAAGATGAGGTGTATATCAATAGACGCGCCTTTGAACGCTGATTCTAGATCTGCTTTCCTTTTCTGCGGAACAACTCTCCGAAAGAAGTTATACGCGCTTGAATGTCCAAATTTGCCAAGCATTGAATGGCATAAAATTAGCGAAAAGCTCTAAGACAATACTTAAGCAATTTCCATCGGCTTTGTTCCTCCATTGCAAGCAATATGCACGATACAAAACTAATTTCCCGCTTTTCGATGTTTTTGTGCATCGTTTCGTCAACTTTAGGCCACCTAAACCTTGACAAATTTGGACATTCAAACGCTCACAACTTCTTTCGGAAACTAATTCCGCAAAAAAAGAAAGCAGATTTGGAATCAGCGTTCAAAGATGCATCTAGTGGTATACATCTTATTTTCAATTGCCAACTAATGTTGGTATCCTTCCCTTGTTAGATCCGCCTTTTTAGATGGGACACATATATTTGGAATCAGCTTTGAACGCTGATTCTAAATATGCTGCTCTTAGCTGCTTAGCGTTATTCCGAAGCGAGTTATGGGCTTGCTGTTGTGAGTAACTAACGAACTTCTGAATGTCGTAAGACGGCGTGTAGATAAGAATCTGCTCGAAAAAAGTGCTAGGATGTTTAACCAGCATCAGATTGATTCTTTCGATTATAAAAAGGAGCATTATGCAATTGCAAAACCACCTAAACGTCGACACCGCAGCATCAGTAGGTCGAGGAGCACGCAAACTTTGCATAGAAAAAAGATCATAACTCGCTTCAAAATAATGCTAAGCAACTAGTAACAGAATATTTGAAATCAGCGTTCCAAGCTGATTCCAAGTATATGTGTGTCATCTCAAAAGGCGAATCTAAGTTAGTATCCTTCCCCTGCTAGCACGAAAGAATTGCCTACTAATTTGAACGTATTGGTTTAAAGGTCTATCTATCTATGATCGTCTCCACGACTCATGTAGAGGTGTATTGCAGACTTTGCTTGATAACACTGGTAAACCTGTTAAACCTCCACGTCATAGCATTGTTTTTTGTACTCTCTCGCTATCAAAAACCGCCACGATTTGAGTTGGCAAAACCCCGCCTCTACACGAATCGTGGAGCCGATGATACCTTATGCATCTTTCTTTCGCTAAGACATTTGACAGGAACATCGTCTACAGCGCAGTGACTGCGCGCGCTGCTCATGTCGTCCGGTGCGCTTCGGAGTCGGGGTGTCGAAGCTTTTTGCGGCGGGCCAACGCATCGTGGTGCCCAAGTTGTGACTTGTTCTGGGCGGTTATGATCGTGTCTTAAGTTATGACAACTTTGGGGGGATTACTACTGGCTCAGGCGCTGGCGATAACTTTCAAACGACAAGTTGCACTTATAATGATAATGAATTTTTTTTTGGTTTCTGCTCACACTCGTATAACTTATCTCCTGTTTTTATCGGTAAAGGCGGTATAAAGTTTGCGAAAGCGCAACCACTGCCAGGTCCTGCACGCACTAACATTTTCTCTTATTTCATGCACAAAAAGATTACTTTTATCTTACACATGTATATGCTAAGAACCGTAACCATGTATAAAGGCACAATCCTTTTGAACCTGCGACAGTAAAAAACAAAGACAGAATCCATTGTAAAGTTTTTCCGAAGAAGTATTCTAGCCATGAGGTAGCCAGACAGCACAAAGAATCTAAATCAATGCGTTAATCAAGCAGAGTTAGGAATAGATGCGCACATGTCCACGCCGACAAATCCAAGACGATAGAAGTTTGGTCGTAAATGCATCACGAGCACGAAAAGGATTGCAATCCCTCTCAAGCCCTGCAAATCTCTTCGTTTGCTGTTCCTATAAGGTGCATTGAATCATAACAATCTACATGTCCATAACATCACATACTCGGATTTTCGTAAATCGTAGCCTTCCGCTGTAGTCTGTTGTGACAATAACATAATATCCTAAAGTGTTTTCATATATACTAGCACACTTTATTTTGAACGATGCAATCTTGAAAAGAAATTGAAAGAGGCATTAGCGCCACGCGATAGAAGCGAAGGCCGAAAACAGCCTACGGAGAAAAAAAGTTTATGCCGAAATTTCAAGGGAAGCCTTTTTAGTGGAAGTGGCCTTTCCAAATGGGCCCTACACTTCTTTGAGGAGCATTAAACGCCAATTTCAAAACTGTTTTCGATATCTGTTAGGCGCCTTTGGAAGCCAATTCACGGGCGTTTTTGTGTTAAGAAATCGAATGCGTAATATAAAAACAAAATCGTTCAGAATTGCTGAAACGGTCCAGTGTTTATTATCAAAGCACTTCAATCAATAGACATCTATCCACTACACTCATACTCAGCACTGTCTATTTGAGCGCTGAGAAGACCGTGATGACTGATTTTTGGGTTACCCCTACTCAGTGGGTTCCGAAACCCATACAAAGCCACTTAACCGCAGTGGCGTACCGGGGGGGGGGGGGCGAGAATGGGTCGCGAAATTTTTGAAAGTTGCTTATATGGGTTATAAAAATGTGCAAGTGACTTGTTTATACTCGTAAATAATTAAAATTATTTTTAAAAATTTTTGAAAATTCAAATTGGCCTTATAAAAAAATTTTTTCGGCCCGCGAAAGTTTTGGGAAGCATACCAAAGATTTTCTCGGAGTGCGTGACTGACGCGGCGCACTTTCAATAGAAAAATTTTTTTGTCCCCCCTACCCCCCACCGAACGGAAATCCTGGGTACGCCACTGCTTAACCGTTATTCACGAACGAACCCAGTGGGTTCGCGAACCCAAAAGTCAAGCATACCGGTATTCACAAAGCAAGTTACCCATTTCTCGTGGGTTCCGGAACCCACTGAGAGCTGGGTTGGCAGCTCCAAGCATGATGCAAATTCCTCAGTGGGTTACATGCGAGCCCAGTCTTTTTGCTGAATATTGTGTGGGTTCTTATAAGCAGGGACGGCTACTACTTGCAACACATACACATTAATAACACTTTCCATATTTTTTATGACTGACAGGAATTTTGTTGGATAAACTTTGATAAAGTTTTCCACGATGTAGGACTAGCAAGCTTGATGCCAGTCACGGTTTGGCAATCTTTAAAAAGTCGTAAATAAGCTTTTTGCGGAAATTTTTGATGAAAGCGTGAGAGCCTATGCATTTTCCGATGTTTATGCATACTATTTCGGGATTTTTTCAGATACTGCTGCAGCTAAAGAGGGAGCCTCATATAGATTATAGACATATAGCCTTATATAAATTATAGAGCAACGACGACGCCGCAAATTGAAAGTATGGTCAGAAATGAAAAATTCTGATTTTTTAGGCGTCAAATCAGGCTTGAAATTCGTATTTTACAGCCAGTACGTACTTATGTTTTGACGCCCAAGTCAAAAGCGATAACATTTTGACCGACATCAAAACAAATATGAATAATGTGACACAAATCAAGCAAAAACTGCGGTGCTCCCGCGAATGCCACTTTGTCACTGATGGTGAGGATTTCGTTTGAAGGCGTACATATACTCAGACAATTGCCGTGGGCAGGCGGGCACCGGAAAAATAGATGGCTGATTTCTCTCAGCCCGCTCGCGGGTTTTTTGGAAAGGAACCAGAATTTTTCGGAACGCCGCGCTGAGTTCTCGATTTCTCAGAGATTCAGCAATATACCTGCAAAAGATAAGAGCGAAAGAAGACTCAACAGGCGGTCTCTCAAAACCCGCTGACCATTCTCCTGGAAATTGCGAGCGGAATGCGAGTTTTCAGCAACGCGTATTTTCCGGTGCCCGCCTGCCCCATTGTCTGAGTACTTGTTATGCACAGTATAAGCACCCCTAAAATAAAGTTTAGCTACGCTTTGCACCATGACAATCGTTTCAAATTACGTAGATTCTATATGTCAGCTATGTCAAGCAATTTTCAAAAGTATGGCTAATATTCTGTTTATGAGGTAAGAGACAATGCTACAAGAAAGATCACTTGGACAAAAAAGCATAGAGCCCTTTTTTGCATCTGTTTCCAAGTCGAAATTCATGTCTGGGCCCGAACGGATCTCAAATAAAGAAGGATGAGGATAAGGAAATGCAAGTTTCATCGCACAAAAGACATTGATTGGTGGCACTCATCCAAACGTAGGAGTTCTCGAAAGCGTGTCAAGCGTGCTGACGCTTTAAGTTTAGCGCGATCGTGTGCATCTGCTGACGCTTTTAGTTTAGCGCAATCGTGTGCGTGGGAAAATGAGGAAAATAGTACACCGACCAGAGAGGCACATTGGTGACGTAATGGGTTGGCGAACTCAGCGGGGAACTTAAGAATACCGATCTTACTTAGTGGGTTCTCGAACTTACGAAACCCACTGGGCTCCTGAACCCAGTGGGTTCCGGAACTCACTGGACTCGCGAACCAATGGGTTCTGACACACACTGGGTTCAGTGATGAATGCGGTTACGGAAGAATCTCAAACAAGCTTTTTCGCTAGCCTTTGGCAGCCAAGTATATGTAGAGCTATATCCTCAAAGTATGGGATTTCCGCTACACGCTGCATCAATTTCAAAGAAAGGCGTGACTTTTTCCCCATCGCTAGATGTTTCCAGTCCCGGCTCCACAAAGTTACCAAAGACTCTATATTACTAGTACAACACTGGCCTCTTCAATCATCAAATTGTAGCTTGCAAAACATTGATTTTTCGTTGTTGTCGACCCTTTTCCGAACACTTCCGCTTTAGCGGTTTCTGCGGTTCAGGTCTGAGATGATCTAGACGTATTATTTGATGATATTATACACCTGTGTTAGAATCTTCGCTTTATACAATATTACTCTTGAGTTTCTTTTTCAAGGACTGCATAAGCCGAGCAGGCATATGACAGTATGCAAAATGCTAGCATAAAGAAAAAGCTATTTGCTCACCGCAAATTTCAGCGTACAATCTCGGCAATGCAGGCATTACCCTTAAACTCACAGCTCAGCTAATTGCCGGGGGGCAGGCGGGCACCGAAAAGAATAGTTTGCTGAAAACTTGCGGATCGCTTGCAGATGTTTGAAAGAATTTTGGCGAAATTTTAGACGAATTCTCGGAGAATAAATGCGGCTTTTTCATAGATTGAATGCAGCACAGTAGCCGCATTCTCGCGGGCCTTTATTGAGAATATGTAAAATTATTGATGGCCGCACGGCCCTTCGTGAAGGATCGCACAGCCCGTAGGTACTTTCCGTTGAGAGAAAGTAGTCCAAACTCGAGTAATCAAAGGGGTGCGCCAAAATTTTCAGCTTATTTCTCTAAGTGCCAGATGACTACAAGACGGGCTTGACGACTGATTAAGCATGCATCTACACCAACTATTATCATCGTAATGCAGCAATGAAATCAGAATTTGGATGCTCTAACTTTTGAGAAATTTCAAAACTCTCGTCAACTAAAATGCACTCTGTGTACGGGCACAACTCAGAGTCTTTATACTGCATCTTTTTGGAAATCTTTTCTTTGGCGTTGAGACTGATCACCAATGCCCTTTGCCTGTAAAATTATCAAGTAAGGATATTTGAAAGTTGATTTAAAAGGGAGTTTTTGATTTTTCAAAAATTTTGACAAGCAAGACCGAAATTCAGTGGTCTTTTGGCCTTTTTGAGTGTGCGCCTGAAAATGAGAAGTCTTCTAAGATTCCAAAAATTTCTTCACTTTTCAGAATTAAAGATGATTACTCTAATACATGTCTTTAAATAAGAGAATGTTCTTTATCTGGAATGTCTGCAGCCTCACAACCGTTTTTGAATATAAGGTCTTTGCTCGTACGCAGGTATTTTTTCGCAACTACATCTTCGTTTTTCGTTCAAGAATAATTTCTTGCAAATGCAACGACGTGCATGTGATAGTGCGAAATGTGCTTTACAACTTCATTTTAGGTGGTTTAGAAAGGCTTTCAGTTCATTCAATTGCAGAGCAAAATATGAAGGCATAGCAAATCCATTGCTTTTCTCAGAATTGTCAGTTTGGTTCTTCCAATCCTCACATTCATGAAAAGAGGATTTGGATTCTGTAAGATATTTGAGAGCTTGATTAGTGCGATCTATGATATGAATTTGTTTTCCAATAACTTGTTTTTATCAGTTGTGCATATACGAGCGCCGATAAGTTTGGCGCACATTGTACTTAAAGGCAGTAGGTCGGCAGAATGAGACCCATGGCAAAACAAGGTTACAGGGTAGGAGCCCCCATAATGGAACCTATGGACCAAAGACCGATCTTTGTCTGCCACTTCTAACCCCCGAAATTTCAAAGCGAAAGCAGCGCTCATCTCCTGTCCTCTCCGAACCCGCCCACCAGATGGACGAGTGAACGCGAAGCCCGTCATCGCGAAGACGCAGAGTCGTTGCGGGACCTCATGCTTATAGCATTGCGGCTGGCGCTCTGATCGTGGAAGTCACTCGTCCATGGGGTGGGCGGGTTCGGAGAGGACAGGAGATGAGCGCTGCTTTCGCTTTGAAATTTCGGGGGTTAGAAGTGGCAGAGAAAGATCGAACTTTGGCCCATAGGTTCCATTATGGGGCTTCTACCCTATGACCTTGTTTTGCCATGGGTCTCATTCTGCCGACCTACTGCCTTTAACTCTAGCTTGCGCGAACTTGCACATTCATTTTCCTTAAATGCCGAGTGCGTAATCGAACAAAATGCCCTACGTCATGAATGCGTGTGTAGAAAGCAACTTGAACAGCATGCAGAAACTGATACTGAAATTGTGCTTATTACATCACAGACTTTGCGGAGTACAAGAGGCTACTCTCTTCAACGTGACGCGCTGGTTTCTTGAGTTTCTTTCATAAGTTGAGAAATTCAAAGTAATGGGCGAGAATGTGTTGGTAAATGGTGGGACTATAAGTGCAAACAAACTAGCTATCAGGGAGCGACACTCTGGTCTGGTTGCGATCTTTTTGCAAGTACTTTTCGGGAATATTCGG